ATGCTGAGAAAATATTAACTATATTAATAATAATCATTGCCTTTATTGTTAATTTACTTGATCTTAAAGAAAAACTCTCATCCATTTGAGATAGCAAGGAATAATTGCTTGGTAAACCTGGCCCAGCATCAGGAAGAAATAGTAAACACAGTTTTCTGTGGTCAACACGTGCAGAAATAAATAAATACAATAGGAGAAATAGTGGATAGGTGTGAGATTATCTAGTTAGAAGGTAAGTATAATGCACAAAGGGCAGCCCTTAAAACAAAATATATAAATAAGACCTCTGAGTTTTCAGATGCAAACAACACACCTCTGAATAACAAAGTCTTAGCCCTGGAAGCACTCCAGGGATTATAACGACCTTCATTCTGTAGCCTGTTTTTGTAGGGCCTTCTCAATGTCCCCATGGCTTTGCTTGCTGTTGGAAGACTCAAGGAAGGGGAGTATTGAAACCATTCTTATGTAACATAAAAATATAGCTCAGTTTGAATTATGGGCCCATATATCTTTCCTAGTACCCTTACCATTCAACTTTCACTCAGATGGTTTGTTATCAGAAGCCTGAGATAGACCTACAGTCCCATAATTCAGAGGCCTGTTGTTAGCTCTTTGGGTGCATACATACGGGGCTATGTGCTGAGGACTGAAGGACCAATATAACTTGTCTGGAACAATATAAAATTAGTTAAAATTTTTTTTTCCTTACAGACTTTGCATCATCTGTTAAGTATGTTTCAATAAAGATGACAAAATTATAGAGTAGAATTTATTTGAAAGTTAGCCTTTGTAGTCAAAAAAAGAGAGAGTTACTCTCCAGGCTCTGTCTCTGCCTGGTAGATATCTACTTCCAGTTAATTCTAAGGCAGATAATCTCTGATGCCTAAGTATTATTTAATCATGGAAATGCCTTAACTGTAGCAGGTGGGATCTAATTTATAGCTGGCATCTTTAATGCTTGATGCATTTGTCCATCTGTTAGGAACATTAGTCAAAAATGCAAGGAGACATTTATTAAAAGTAGAATTATGGTAGATCAGATACTGAGCACATAAATATAATGTATATAATTTTTATAAATGTATTTTGTATATGATCTACGGTAAAGATGTTTACAAAATAATTATTATTTTTATATTTTTAAATGAATATAGTTTTATTTTAAAATTTAGTTTCAGGGGCGCCTGGGTGGCTCAGTTGGTTAAGCTTCTGACTTGATTTTGGCTCAGGTCATGGTATCAGGGTGGTAAGATTGAGCCCTGTATAGGGCTCCATGCTGGCCGTGAAGCCTGCTTAAGATTCTCTCTCTCCCTCTCCCTTTTGCCCTACCCCGCCTCTAAAAAAATAATTAAATAAAATTTGGTTTCAGATAGACTTTAAAATTTCTAGCATGCTAAAGATAATTATTTTTGTTATGTAAGCATATTAATTCATTTCTCCAAAAGTTTAATATTTGAGACTGCATTAAACTTTTAAGGCAAGCATCATGCTAAACACTGTCATTCTAATACTGATGGGAAAAGAAGAGATAAAGCTGCTGCTTCCATGGTTCTCAAGCCAATAATGTAGTAGGATCCCCAGATGTAACTTCAATGTGAGACAAGTGCTATGGAGTTAATTTCCAGGATGCTTGTCTTGGAGAATAAATAGGAGCTCTCTATCTAGAGAAGTTCCATAGAAGGGAGCAGAAAAGTAATCAGGGAAGGAGGAGGTACTTATCTTCTAGATTTCTAAAAGGAAGAATAGGCCTTATAACTCAACACAATACAGAGCTTGGTGTGTCCCAGAATGCAAAGGAGAGCCAGGGTCATGGAATAGGGGAGAGCGGTAATTAATAAGATGAGAGTGGAATATACTATATCAAATTATGTAGTACCTGGTAGGCCTTGGTGAAGAATTTGGCTAGTGAATCTCTTAAAACAAGTATTTACACTTAATGAATTATTTTTGTATACCCACTCTTTGCTACTAGAATCTTTCTTCCTAATAGGCTGCAGACATCACAGAAGATTTGAAAGCTATTTTTTAAGATTTTATTTTTTTCTCCTTTATTATGCAAATATTTTTTTAAAAACCACAATGAGCCCTGAAATGTTAATATCAAGCAAATACTTTTCCATAGATATTGTGAAGGAATTTGAATTTGGGGAAAGTTAAGAATGTCTCTTGCCCCACTGTGTAATGCTAGGAAACATTTGCCTTTTTTTTTTTTTTTTTAAGTAAGAATGGAAATTATACTATCAATATAACTCATTGTAGAGCAGAAATAATGAGGCAGTTGAAAGGAGAAAGAAGTAGGGATAAAGTAATTAAAGGGCTAAAAATTAAAAACTTTGGTAAAAATATAGTACTCTACTTCGGTGGTTTCTGAATCCTTTATTACTAGATTTTTATAAAATGTATGTTGCCTTATGTAGTAAAAATCATTAGGATCAAAATTATCTCTAAAAGGATTCAATTTTTAGCCACCTGGTACTAAGTATATGAATGGCTAAAATTTTAGCTTATTTTTATTTTTTATTCTATGTGATGCGTTGCGGGGCTCCATGCAGGGCTTGATCCCAGGAGCCTGGGATCATGATCTGGGCTGAAGGCAACTGCTTAAACCGACTGAGCCACACTTTAGCTTATTTTTATAAATACCAAGTTTATTAGGTTTATTTACAAAGTGAGTATTAAAAACTCCTGCTAAACTAAAACTAGATACATCTGTATCTATAATGTAAGTGAGAAAATCATAGTTTTGTCCCACAGGTGGGTGCAATCAAGCCAAGCAACAAAAGAAATCAGACCATGTTCCATGCAAAAATGATAAATATTTCATAATATGTTAATATGGTACTGTCATATCCTTTCTTAGAAATTTTCATCAAGGGGCGCCTGGGTGGCTCAGTTGGTTAGGCGGCTGCCTTCGGCTCAGGTCATGATCCTGGAGTCCCTGGATTGAGTCCCGCATCGGGCTCCCTGCTCAGCCTGCTTCTCCCTCTAACCCTCCCCCCTCTCATGTACTCTCTCTCTCTCATTCTCGCTCTCTCAAATAAATAAATAAATCTTTAAAAAAAAAAAAAGAAATTTTCATCAAAATGTTATGGCTTGGATATGGGTTATTTGATAAATACCTGATTTGGGAAATTCTTACCTTTATTGAATATTGCAATGACTACTATAGCCAGTACAGAGCTACAGTAATATTTAGTATTAATGACATTATCGTTACAGGCCAGGAAGTAAAATGTTTTTAGACAACATATCTAGGGTGATTATACAGCATAATTTTGTATGCCTTTAAGTCATTGTTCAAAAATAGAGGTCAGTTGGATTAATAATATATTTTCATTGGTGAATCTCAGATTATATCATATATCCAACTGTGTATGCCACTTATAGGAAACAGTCATTGTCATTATTAGATGTTTCATATATTAAAAATAATGATGATATATGATTATTGAACTGGGAAGCTAAGGATGTTTAGAGACTTCCAGGTAAATGTTCTTATTAAAGCTGAACTGGATTAATTCTACAAAGGCAGCCAATACTTGATACACCTTATAGAAGAAATTAGCCGTTATGAGACTAATCTTATGGACATTTCTTTTCATTTTGTTGAAGGCAAATGGTGGATTTTGGACATTAACAATATCATAAGTTAAATATATATTTTATTTATTAATTTATTTCAATATGTACTTTTTGTAAATCTCACAAAACCTGTCTCTGATTCATTCATTAATTTAACACATATTTATTGAACAGGTACTAGATTCTTGGGATATATCAATGAACAAAACAGAGTTCTGTGACATTTTAGAGGTAATATTCCAACTGAACAAGTTAGGCTAAAATCAATCATAATAGGAATGTAAAATTTGGGCATGTCGATATTTCTATGAAGTAAAAAATAGTTTAACATTGGTTTTAAGTTCCTTACTAATTACTATGTCTACTACAGATTATGTGAAAGCACTCAATTAACTTAATGTTGAAGGTGAGATCTGCACATATTTAGATTATATTTTTCTATTTCCTGGATTTACAGTAGATTATTTCTGTTTCTTTATATTTTAACACTATCGGTTAACTATCAGTCATTTTGCAAACATTTACATGGCAATATTCATTTTTAAAAATGTTTGGAAAATTTTCCTTTTCTTATTACCTTCTACTGTAGATCTTATAACTTGGAATTTAGGTATATTTTATACAAATATATCCAAAGTTTAGTCCACACCACAAAGTTGGCAGCTTAAAGGGTGCTACATCTGAGAAATGAGCTTACATTTTGTTTTGTTTTTCCTCTGGATTTTTAATTTCCCATTTCTTATTTCTGCTTCATTCAAATGGGATTATTGAATGTGTCCAATGTTTGATTTGCTTCTCTTTTTCACATAACCATGGGTTTCTCAGTTGGTTAAAGTTGAGTAATATATTTCCATCTTAACATTTAATTGTTTGGTTAATTTCACTTCAAGGAAGAAAGACTGTATAGTTCATTGATAGTGATGAAATAACCTAGGTGGCTTTCATATAAATAGCAACAAATGTGCACAATAGTTAACATTACATGGTATATTTAACAACACTGCTAAGGAGTAAGATGAGGAGCTCAGTCTTTCCTGATGGAGATACACCTGGGGGCATGCAGAGAAAATCTGGTTCTGCAAGCTTGGAGGAAGTAATTGTCATTCAACAGAAATCAACTAACTTTGCATATCAGTAACACCCACACACATACTCTTATCTCTTTTCTGAGTGCTCTTGAACTGATATCAAAATAGCAAATATATATTTATGAGAACTAGAAATTCTGTATTCTTTTTGATCACATAAACTCAATGTAATTATGAAATTAACTTTGAGAATATGTGAAAGATGTTACTTCCTAAACAAGTGAAGATAGAAGAAAATCCACAAATTATATATCAGGCTACTGAGTTTTTATATTCACATTTGTCCCCCAAATGTCATGAAATTAATTATTTTTTATTGTTCATTTTTAGATGGAAGACTGTATTTGAAAACTACTGTCATGTACTGAATTTTTCCTGTTGAAGAAATCCATGTTATAGTAAAGAACTTTGCAGACATTCGTCATTGGAAAGTTTGGAAAAAATAAAGTCCTTTTAAGGGAACTTCCTCAATTTTGTGTATTAATGTTCTTTAAAAGTTTAAGTATTCTACAAAAAGAAAAAAAAAAAGTTTCCTCCATTGAATTTCACCTGTGGTTCATACCAGAGACCTGAGAATGTTTGTAAATGTACAGGTATCTAACTTCTTACAGTTAAAAACTGCAACTTTGCTGCTGGACACTTGTATACCGAGTTAAAGGCAGGTCTGAATAAGGCCTCGCTTTGTTTTTTTTAATGGAATGAACCATTTTCCTCCTCTGAAAATTCTGTATCTGAGCACATCAAGAGACTCTTGTACCCAGTGGTTACCCAGACTTACAGAATTATGTCCTCCTGAAACCAGCAAGAACACTTGGAAATGAACTTGTAGGGGGCATAGAGGATTCCTTAAAAAACAAACAAACAAAAAAACAACAAAAAGCAAAAAAAAATAAATAAAACAAAAAAAACAAAAAAAATCAATAAATCAAAGAGTAATATTCTATTACATTCGATTTTAAACTAATTGTGGGTTTTCTCATGAAGATTTTTTTCGCATACTTCCAAAAGACCAACAAATGGATGCTGACAACAACCCAGTGAAATAACATTTTGCATATCTGAAAAGAAGCATTGAATATAAGCCAAAAGGTTTCACCCAAGGTCCTTTTTCTTAAAAAAAAAAATAAACGTAACATGTTTTCATTCCAAACTGGTAGTGGCATATAGAATTTAAAATAATAATGATGCTTCTTATTCAAACTGTTGGTCACATGTACAGTATATAAACATAAAACATACAAGGAAGGTATTATGTATGCAGTAGTAATACTAGAGTTTAGGAAAATGAGAATTTTAGAAAATATGTTTTGTCACCCTGTTAGTCAGAAAGACACCTTTCTGGTTTTAACGCATGCAGGCATGTAAATATTTGTCTGGAGTCACAGTATTAATGAATGAGATCTTAAGCATCTGGTGACATCAGAACTCTGTGTCAGCCACTTTTATTTGTATATTGAACCCTAGTTAGTGCCCCAAACTGCACTATTGAGAATGGATTGTGGCTGAACAGTAAATCAAAACACCAGAAATATTTTTATATGTTAATGTCATATTATGTTAATGTTGCTGAGAAACAAAACCTAACAAACCCTTGATGTATCAGTCCAATACCATGTAGCGCTGAGTGATAAAGTTAAAATGTGTTGTGCTTCCCGCCCTGGTCAGAGGGAAGGGTGCCTATGTGTTATTTTCACTGTCTTTTTGAAAGTTACAGTATGTGTTTTCGCTTTTGTGCAGATAACTGGAAGTAAAGCTGCAAACAGTGCTTATTACACACTGAAGTTACCTTCTCTTTGTTTTTACTAATCTGGAGTTACACCTTTAAAGACTGATCTTATGAATCAGTACAGTCGCTGTGCATTTTATGATTTTGCTGTCATCTTAAAATTTTATGATCATAACATTATTTATTACCATAAATAGCAAAATCCTAAATGTCCAAGAAAACTAGCGTAAAAATGTTTAAAGATAGTTCTGATTTGGTATTAATTATTTGGTTAAGAGAAGAAATTAACATTATAGATACTCTGGCACTAAGCTTCTATAGTTTTTAGGTCTTCCTTGCAATACTGGAACGTTATTTCTTTTGTGTAGTTCGCTATTAACCAGCTAAGTCCGTTTTTTACTACAATAAAAAAGTTATATATACAGTTCCTATTTTAGCTTGCTTGAAAGGGAGCAATATTTTTATTTAAAATACTGTTAGTAAATGCTCTGTAGAAACTTGGTTTTCGAGGCATCGTTCTTCCATACCCATCTTTTGTTCTTTGAGCACAAGAGATTCTGTTCCTTGTTGTATTTCTTGCTTTTCCCTTTTATGCAGTCTTTAAAGGATTACAACACTTAAAATTGGAGGGACTTGTGGCAAGCTTTTGAATCATACATTTTTTAAAAGATTTTTTAAAAAGCCTACAACTTACCTAAGTAGTAGAATCAGCCATTGCTCTGCTCCTTGCATAGAGTCACCTGTTAAGTAGGTTAAATAGTTTTAAAATGCATACTTTCAAGACCTTTGAGAATGCTTTAGTGTTTGGTTTGATATAAAAGGAATTTTAGCAAGGATTAAAGAAAGAAGCTATCAGCTATATGTTTAGAGAGAGTCTTACTAACATGTTGTAAATATTACAATTCATGAAATGTTATTTTAAGTCTGTAACTTAAGTTTTTTCTCCTTTTTTAGTTATACAGGTTGGTTTGAAATTTGTTTTTGTTTTGGGGTTGTTTTTTTTTTTTTTGGTATAAACAAGTAAAATTGTGCCCATTTTATGGTTTCCATGCTTTTGTAATCCTAAAAATATTAATGTCTAGTTGTTCTATATTATAACCACATTTGCGCTCTATGCAAGCCCTTGGAACAGAACATACTCATCTTCATGTAGGACCTATGAAAATTGTCTATTTTTATCTATATATTTAAAGTTTTCTAAAAATGAGAAAAGGTTATTACGAATTTTGTTGTACAAAATCTGTACAAAAATCTGTTTTTACATCATAATGCAAGAATTGGAAATTTTTCTATGGTAGCCTAGTTCTTTGAGCCTGGTTTCAATGTGAGAACCATGTTTACTGTTATTGTATTTAATTTTCTTTTTTCTTTTCAACAATCTCCTAATAAAACTGTCTGAAATCTCCCTGTGACTTTATTTACAGTTCGTCTTTATTAAATTTTGTGAAATGCATAGCATTGAAAGAATATTTACTTTCTAATGGGAGGCATCTAAAAACAACATAAGTCAGCTCTTTGCAATGCGAGGGGAACAATGCTCAATGATTTTATTTAACATGCAACTGCTTCTATCTCTAATATGAATTACTGTGCTGAAAAACATCATAAAAGCACACTCTGTAGTTATTGTTTAACAAGCAGATTTTCCATATTTTGTTTCTTGCCAGCTAAGCAAACTGCCCACATATACATGATTTATTTATGTACATTTCTCAGTTTATGAAGCTGTTATTTGTACCCTTTTCCTTTATATTCTTATATTCCCATGATTCTTATTTCACAAAGCTTTGTGCTGAATAATGTAAAGTAGACATGTTGATGGAACAAAATATATTATTCCCATATCTATAAGAGTGTAGATTTGTAACTCTTAGTGTTTTGCTTTCATTCTCTATCATTGGAAAAAATGCCTTTAGAAACTTTGATATTCCAATATCTTTTAATAATATATACACGTTTTAATCAATCCAAAATGCTGCATCTGAAGAAATATTGGGTTACTATCTCTGTGAATATTCTAAACATTCCCAAGAGAATGGATTTTTTTTTCTGTCAAAAGAAATTATTTCATGAATTAACAAAATATGATTTTTCCCTAATAAAAACTTAAAATGTTTATGTGACCATTACAAATACATTTTTGTCTTCTGTCTTCATATGTTTATGTCAGTAAAACTTGTACCAAAACATCATAGAGTCTTTGGATGTTAGAGGAATTTGGTAATGATTTGAGTTTTTTTCCCCAGGTGTTCTCATTGGGACTAGCAAATTTACAATATGAACAAAAGCTATTTATTACCAGATGAGAGTAAATTACAAATAAAAGTTATATGGACTGCATTTTTACAATATGGGAAGTAGAGATGTTAATAGAATTAAAACGTTATTGTAAATGGCATTGTAAAAAATATAATTTTTCCTCCTGTGTAGGCTTGGTGCTAACATTTATCTTTAATATGTACAATTGGTATATAAAACCTGAACTGATCCTCATTTATTCATTTAAACACATTCATTAATAAAGCCTCTATTCTGCACAAAGCACTGTGCTAGATGTTGTAATGACTCAAGTGGAAAACTTAACTGTTGTCCCAGAGGAGCTGATAATTTTGTTGGAATAGGAAATTTTACTTTCAGCAAGAAAAGATTCATTGAGCATCTTCTAATGTGTAAGGGACATGGAGCTGGTATTAAGAGGGCACTGACTTAGACACCTTCCCAAGAATTGATACTATGACCCATTTTGTACGTTCACCTTCTAGAGAATAACATGACATGTTTTGTGAGTTAAACAATTGTGTAGGGATTGAGAAAAGGGATGGATACATTTTCCTCTAAGTAATACCACTATACCAGGTATTCTTTTCATGTTATTTTTCATTTATTTCAATCAGATCATTTGTCTTACCAAAGCTCACCAACTTTATTTTAAGGTAAGTAGCCTGTTGAATCACACACACACACACACACAAATCATCAACCACAAATTCCTACTATATTAGGACTTTGGAATATAGTTGTAATATTCAATTCTTATGACCCAGCATCTATAGATGTACAATAAAATGGCCTCAATTGATTCAAACGCAGAGCTGCTTAAATGCCAGAAGAGTTCATTGGGTAATGAGTAACATTTGTAGTAGCAGCATCATTTGTCTTTATAGGTGAACGAGTTGGAGATTTTGAGTTGAATTGTTGGATCAATTGGGGTTTCTTTGGTTGGCGTGACAAAAACTGATTCTTGCAAGTAGTTAAAGAGCAAAGGGAATTGGTCATAAAGACAGAGGGGTACACATGGAACCTCAAGCCAAGATTGCAGCCAGCCCCCAGAGACCAGGGTCCCTCTTTTACTTTCACCCCTCTGCTCGTCTCCGTGACTGTTTCTTTTTCCTCTCATTGTGGACATATTTGTTTCTCTTGTTCACCTCTTGACTCCTCCATTATTTAGGAGCATAAGACTCAGCCCACAGAAGTGAGCCAATCATTTTCTCTCCCTGTCCTAAGTCAGATTACCTGAGAATTTTGATTGCCTCAAGTCAGAGCACATGCAAGTAAGGTACCTTGGCAGTACATTAGATGCATCTAGGGAATTTTAGAAATACTGTGTCCAATTAAATTTGAATCTCTGGGGGTTGGGGCTAAGGCCTATGTTCCTGAGGTGATTCTAATGAATAGCTAAGGTTGAGGACACTGTCTGGGAGTCTGACAAATATCACATTGTAGAAAATGACTAGTAAGACTTCTGTCGGGGCAGGAGCATAGTTGGGGATGGGTGGAGGGTGTTATAAGCTGTGCAGACACTGTAAGAGCCAACCAGTAGTTCTATAAAATCATTAAATTATATATAAAATCTGTAAAATATTTAATATATATTTTTAAAAAGTAGTTTTAGCATTGTGAACTTAATTCTGAATATGAATTTGCAATCCCAGTTAAGGTATAGTAGAAGACACCTTATTTTTTTTTTTCTAAATAAAATTACTGATTAATCTAACCACGGAGCTGCACAGGGAGGTACAAATTCTTTTTCAATAATTATTGAGGCTTCCTCCATCTAAATGTTCTCAGTCCAAACATTCTCCTCAGTCCATACCATTTGGAGAATGCTTGGGTTTTCATGCCTAGGATCCAGCCTTCAAGAAGTGGCGCTAAGCCCTTCTCTTTGGAGGGCCTCCAGGTTTGTGGAAGCAAAAATTATAACACAGTTTGGTGTGATTCACAATGTAGGGAGAGAAAATACCTAAGACAATTATGTTATTACTGAGGAAGTGTAAAATTGTGCGAAAGGATGTAACATTTCTATGTTTTACTTGAACTGATAAAATGTCAATCAATACAAGTAGACTATGGTAAGTTTTGCATCTTTAATGTAATACCTGGAATAAGCACTAAAAATGTTATATCAACATATACATTTAGGGGCGCCTGGGTGGCTCAGTGGGTTAAGGGTCCAACTCTTGATTTTGGCTCTGGTCATGATCTCAGGGTCATGGGATCCAGCTCTGTGTCCATCTCCATGCTCAGTGGGGAGTCGGCTTGAGTACTTCCTCTGCTCACACTCTCTCTCAAATAAATAAATATTTTATATATATATACACATATATAAAAAATATACAATATATAAATATATATATATATTTAAAAACACTATAGAGAAATCAAAGTGGAATTCAATGCTATAGTAAAGTTAGCTCCCAGATAAACAGTAAATACTCTTTGGTAATTCATCTGTTGTGTTAAGCTCTCTTGCTGGTAGTTTCCAATCCTGTCTCCGGTTCTTTGGCTGCTCTTTCAACAATGCCAATTGTGTGTCGGATTTGGTACACTACATTAGGCAACAGAGAAAGATGAGTTGATAGACAAATAGCAGCACTGTGCAGCTCTATTTTCTATTCACTGAGTGTATTCACATCCAATGATATATTTCCACCTGATATTTTCAAAAACACAGAAATTAATTATTAGGCTGCATACAAATTATAAAAATATTAAAATTTATTTATTAAAATTAATAAAATTGTTAAATTTTGGGGGCACCTGGGTGGCTCAGTCGTTAAGTGTCTGCCTTCGGCTCAGGTCATGATTCCAGGTCCTGGGATCGAGCCCCGCATCGGGCTCCCTGCTCGGCGGGAAGCCTGCTTCTCCCTCTCCCACTCCCCCTGCTTGTATTCCCTCTCTCGCTGTGTCTCTCTCTGTCAAATAACTAAATAAAATCTTTAAATAAATAAATAAATAAATAAAATTGTTAAATTTTTATTAAAATTACTAAAATTATTTTATTGATGATTATTAAAATTTATTTTTTAAATAGTATTGTCGGTTTCCACCCCAAGTGTGGGAGCTGGGAGAAAGAGATGATACTAGTCAATCCTTTTCTTACTAACTTATCTTACTAAATTTACAAAAGAAAAGGGGCTCCCGTTGAGTTGGATCTTTCCTTTAAATCCATTTGGTTGTCATATGCCTGGATTTATATATGTTGAATGTTGTTAGCTCCTTCCATTAATAGATTTGGGTGCTTTTTAGTATATTCTTTATGTGTGATTTTTCTTTTCCCACCAGTAGCCACTGTGAGACAACAATCGCTAGACACCAGGGCCCAAATGAAGATGGGTGAGTTCTTGGGAAATGAAGTTTCCTGCAATCTAGAACAGAACTGAGCAAGAATGGAGAATCTGATCACAGAGCATGCAGGCAAACGATTTAATAGCACAAGGTATTTTTAGGGAAGGAACGTTAGGGGCATGGGGCAGGATGTAGAGAGTTTTTAATTGTCTAAAATGAATGATCATTTAGCATTTAGATTTGCCAAGTATTTACAACAGACTATATGAAGGTTTGGGGGGATACTGCCTCCTTCCTGGGGATTTGCTGGCAGTTGCCTTTATGCAGCCAAATGCACATGTATTTTGACAAGTTACTTAGAAGTCTTTTTATCTATTGAGTATTCAGTGGTAGGTCCAGCCCTCTTCTGCTTATTCTTTCATCTGAAACACGTGGGTTCATAGTAGACACTTAGGTATTCTTTTCCCCAACCAATGCCAGGAATGTCACAGTGCCCTGAGAGCAGCAAGTTCTCTCTATACGTTTGTCAGAGCAATAAGCCAAACACACATTCCTACCATGTGAAATTCAAGGCTGAGATAGGCACTGGCCTTCTGTCTCCAATAACCATTAGTAGACAAATAGCAGGTCCTCTGAGTGGTCCCACTGAGGTTTCTTTCCTAGACTTCAGATGAGAGACTGACACCTGTCACCTCTCATGGGTGACTGGCGAGCTTTGAACCTGAAACAACCCACAGCCCCCACCAACAGCTACCTTCTTACATCGATTCTTGACCCCATATCTTAAACCTGTTTTGTAATCTGGAGATGGACGGACAGCTGAGGCCACAAAATTAGTTT